AAAAAAGACCTATCAGTCAATGTTAAAGAAAGTCAACCAAAAAAAAAACTGGATCCACCGCGTTGGCCGAATCTGTGCCCAAATACAGTATGATGGGTTGTTTCTTGGTCCATGTCCCATCGTTCCGCCAAGCTTCTATGAAATCCACTCTGTAGTGGGGGAAAACAACCTTCTTGGCAGAGGTAATAGTGTCAGACCGTGCCACAAAATGCCTTTCAAACAGACAGCCGCGCTATTTCACAGCAGAATAAGCACAGGTGTAAAACAATGTAACAATTCACATGTAAGATTTACAATAGCTCTGTCTGTTCAAGTTTCCTTGTGAATGGTGATGATGAACAAGCACCCTGAGGCTGGGGAGCTAAATTAAATTAATCCAGCACTAATTTTATTTTGTTATTTTTGGCGTCGCCTGTGAAAAGGTTCCTGTTGAAAATTGAGACGTTATAGTGTGCATGCTGACTTTTGTCTGTAAACTTCACTTCACCACACTGTGGAAGAAAAGATACCCTATGTTTTCCATGTTGACACATGATGTAGTCATCTGCAGAAAGGCAATTTGATGATGTATACAGTCTCTTGAAAAGTGCAACTGACAATATAATCAGATTTGATTGAATAAAATACTGCTCTGCACCAGGAAATCTCTTCCAGGTCAAATCTAACCACAAAAACGTGAGAATCTTTTCGATGTCTATTAAAATAAATGTCATCTGTTTTACACAATGATAGATGTCACACTGTTTACTCAATACCCCCTTATACAAACACTGACAAGCCACTCAGTTATATATGAATCATTAGTGATGAGATTTTAAGGCCTACTTCCTCCTAAAGAGCAAGAAGGACTGATGGTAAATTAACCAACTACTCATTGTCACTCCTTTCAAGCCCTTTGGACAGAACCCACCCTTCCAGCATTCACATGACACAGATAGTCCTCCCACATGCACGTAGTCAACAAAGTAGATTTGTGTTAAGAAATCTACCCAAGACCATAAAAAATTGGCTCCACCTGGCTCCACTTCCTCTGTCTCAGCCTGCTACAATGAAGACTTGACTATTTTACAAAAACAACAAAACCAGTTTGGACACTGGTCATTGCTGTATTGTTCCTTGTAGGTGAGGCAGCCTGGTTGCTCTGGACTCTGGGGAGGTTTTCTTCCTCCTAAGCTTTTGTGTAGTTCCTCTGTTTTACTACACAAACACATAAACACACACATACAGAGGGAAAGATAGACACGGTGCATACGCCTTGATTGCATCTGGTAGCCCGGACTGAACCCCTATCTCTCCCAGCCTGTTATCAAATTAAGTGAGATGTCGGTAGCCTCAAAGGAAAAATGTTACAGTAAGACAGAGATAAGCATGTTTTATATGGTCTGATAGCTCTAACTTGGTGTAATAAATGCATTTAGGCTGTAGTATGGTTTCTTCATTAAATATTCTGGTCTGTGGATCTGTTCAGACAAATAAAACAATACATAATTCTATAAAAACTGTTATTTTATTCTTGGCGTTTAATTTTCTAAGCTCATTCACTTCTATTGACATTCATTTCTTCATCTCGGTGTGAGGGCATAATTACATTTATCCATTGAACGTTTCTAATAAATAGCTCAGTTCATGTTCCAGGTAGAAAGTCACCTGACACGCCTGCTTACCGTCATCATACCTCTGATATCCCAGAGTGCTTCACACAATGAATTGCCTGTTTTGTCTGGATTACCAGAACGGTAGTGAGTGAGTGAAGGAGGGCAGCTGTCTCACTCGGTGCTGTGTCATCCGTGATGATTGAGTCACTGTGAGTAAGAGGGGGAAGTTGCACTATGTTGTATTGTGCAGACAGTTAGCATGTCAAGCAGGGAGCTAAGAATGGGGGCATAACTGGGTGACTCACCAAAATACTGTTGAAAAATCAGCCAAGTATACAGAGACAATATTAACAAATAGGTAATGGCTAAGTTTTTCTTAATGTCTTTTGTATTTGATCAAAAATACTGAAGTAATAAGTGTCTTGATGTTGAAAGAATAAACATGCTTTGACTTGTCTAATAGAATCCAATTGGATTGCAGTGGAAGCGCAACAGTTCGCATATGTAATAATCTAATTCCCACACTGTGTTATTTTGCTTTATTCATAAATCCTCAACACATCCACTGCTTCCTCTTTTCATCACTGTCACAGTTCCTCTCAGTCATACAGGATAGAAGTCGTGACCAAATAGCTTCCTTCTCAATTTACCAATACGTTGTTAAATGTCCATCTTAAAAGTTGCCGATTGTTTGTTTGTTTTAATATAGTTGTTACTGTTAATGTGCTTGCAGACATCTTCCTATTTATATGTCAGGGACAAATTAAGCATCAGCTTTCAGTCATGTCCCATATTCACTCTCCTTTTGTTACTTGGAAAGAAAAGTGCTGTACAAATAAAGTTAGTATTATTATTCTGTAAGAGGTATGCAGTGTGTAGTAGTAGAGACTGATAAGGCTGAATTACACAGTAAAACCAAAACAATGCAGCAGCGGTGCATGGGGTGATAAACCCTTGGGGATATGTGAAACTATTGATAATTGGATTTAATGTGATTGTGGTTCTGAATGTATCTAAAGGTCCAGTGTTTAAGATTTAGGTGAAAGGGAACTATTGGCAGAATGTGGGGTATTAAGCTGCAATGTGCAACTTCACCACTAGATGTCACTAAATTCTACACACTGAATCTTTAAGCGGTAACATCATTATCCTCTAATATCTCCATTGCCTCCAGATGGAGTTTTATGCAATTGTTATCTCATTTTATAAAACTATTCTTTTTCAAACTGTCTATCTTAATTGAATGCCATCTTTATTTCATTAAAAGTAACACTCTCATGTTCACATGATTGCATCTTCACTCCTTTTAGCCAGCAGGCTAACGCACAAATCTGCAGTCATCTTCAGTTAGCACAGTTCAAATATTATTCCATGTTCACCACACAGTATAAAACATCAAAAGAGGGCGCTACATTTGTTTAGACACAACAGTGTAAATGTGCAAGATGAAAAATGACTTTCAAACATAGTATAATCTAGAATTTAAAATTCAGTTCAAGTCTTTTTTTGTCCATTGTACTCAGTTACAATGACAAGGCATCACAGACAGCAGAATTCAATGAAACAACAACAGTTTACACTGATATTAAACTTCGTTCATTTTGTCTTGAAGTAAGCTACACTGTATATACAAAGTTTTATTTATCTCATTTCCCTCAGAGAAACAGCCTTTGTCAATATCAACTAGTCAACAAAAACAAACTACATAGAAAAATAATCCTTTAGCTTGATTCCTTCCTTCATTCTGTGGAAGAATCTACTCACCACTTACTCACAGTGATTCTTGAAAAAGTTTTGCTCAAATCAGGAAACGTGTAAAAACGAATCCTGTCCCTTTTTAAAAAGTGCAATCTGTCCTCTAAAGGCTCATTTGTAGAAATAAGAAAACATCCCATGTTTGGGGCGTAGAGAGAGAGGATGTCTAGTGCTGCATTCTGATGACCTCACACGTTGGAGACCTCGATGCTGGTGTAACCGTGAATCGGACTTCCCTCGGTTCTGGGCGGAGTCTGGTCTCGAACATCCCGAGGGAGAGAGCTGTAGCTGCCATGGCAACTCAAGTCCCGCCCACTGCGGGCTTTAGGGCTGAAGCCTGTTGGAGGCTAGAAATGAAACACACATTCATAACAAATCAACTAAGGCGCTTTTTCACTGTTTAACAGCTGCTGATGATCAAATATATCATGAGAGAAATGCTCAGTTATTGAAACATCTTTTTTCCATCAATCAACTAAAGACTTTTTGTGTGCAGTACATTGTTTTCCGCCTCATGCCATGCAACTTCACTATATTCACAATCTATTTGAAGTTGTATAAATGCTGTGTCAAAGGTCAAATAGTGCCCAAGCCTGATTCGGATACTCAAAACAAAACATAGACCAAAGCTGATTCTGAAGAGAGGAACAGCTCAAGTTTTTTTCTTTCCCACCTTGACAGCCCTCCGTCTCAGCGAACCCTCGTCATCATTGTGACGACCGGCAGAGCTGGGAGGTCGGCCCAGCGAGTTCTGACGATGTGGGGTCGGTGGTGTTCCCAGGCCTAAACGCTCATAGTCCTGTTTGACGTCTGTCCTGCAGGGAGCATAGGAGGGATCAGGTTGTTGGGGAGAGCTGCTTATGACATCTGAAAGACATTTCAATGCACCTTTGTGCAACATTTACAGATAAATAAAATAAAAGCACATGTTATCATAGAGGGTCCTTAATGGTGACTATCTGCACATTAACGCTTCAGTGAGAAGAACTATAGTGGAATCTGTTGTGGTGTGTTTAAGTGGACGTCTCTCACCTGGCAGAGCCAATCAGGGCTTTCATCTCCTCGACGAGGTGTCGACGAACCATGTGCTTGCTATTGGGAATCCCCAGTGCTGTTGCCATGGCGTCAGTGTTGAATGTGGGGTCAAGCACCATGACAGCTCCATGAACTCCACTGTTAAGGAGACTTTCTGCAAACTCCTGCACAGGTGGATGGAGAGAGGAGCAGTGAGTGAACTAAATTCTCGGATGAAAAAACAACAGCCAATACTGACTGGAGGAAAAAAGGGAGATTACAACAGTTACTCAGAATTGATGCCAAATGTGAGCTGACTCAAAGGACATATTAACTGATGTGTTGATGTCAGAATAAATTCTCTATAAAAACGACATGAGCATATTAACAGGATTGTGAGTCGTGAGTCCACACGGCCTTAATGTGGTCGTGCCTCATAAAGGAAATGTTTTCCATTTCTAATGTTGATGGGGGGATATTCATATTGCAGCATCACCACAGAGGCTGAAATGTAAAAGGATTTGTAATCAACCAGTAACAGCTTACAAGTACAATATCAAAGGCTTTCTATCACACTGTGAAGCTGGGGAAAGCTGAGCAAACACAGGAGCCTCCACTACTCTCAGTGCAACATGACAGCTTATAATACATATTTATTCAAAGTAATTATACATTTAGTAATAAACTGTATGGAAAATGTTGTATTTTAATCAGCTTCAGTTTTTCTTTCAAGGTATGAGTTTAAAAAAGACAATATAAACTTTCTATAGTGGTAAGGCCTGTCAGAGCGTCTTATGTGTTCAGTGTTTCAGGTGCATTCTTTCTCTGTCCCCACCTTCAAGTCAATGTCTCTGATCCACTTCATGACACGATGAGACGTCCACACCAATGGATCCACGTTCTGATGCTCACACTGCACCCGGCGAGCCTGCAGTGCCTGGAAACCATTGTAACAAACAGGATGTATTTTCCGTTTACTGTAACCACATTCGCTGCTGTCTGTGATCCTGACTTATGGATCCACACTTACCTCCTTGTCAAAGTTGAGTAAGTGCAGCAGTTCGATACCCAGCTGCAGGCTGACCTGGTGGAACTTCTTGGTGATGTTGAGGTGACGTTCAAGGTCCCGACGTGTGAGAGAGTTAAGCATGCGCCCGTCCACCAAGTGATTGTGAAAGGCCTGGGCGTACTGAGGCAAGCCCACATCGCTTAACCAGGCCTTGGCCACCCAGTGGTGGTCCATGTCTGCAGCCTTGGACAGCCTGCAGGCAAACAGTGTCACAGTCGTTTCTCACTCAGCCGTGAGAAACGACTGTGCTTTAGCCACAGTAAACACACAAGGTGAATCCCACTGATGTTAATAATACTCTAACTTCAATGATGTTGACATATGAGGTTTGAGTGAAATTTCTTGGAAACTCTTGGGTGGATTTCTGGGAGATTTTGAAATCCATGTGCCTGTCATGATGACTCATAACAGCCTCAGAGTAAAAGAACCCAGTGTATGGAGCTGCTGTGCCTACTGCAGACCCGCATGCATGACTGTAGCCGACACATATCTGCACACAAAACGACTTCTACCATCACAATGCAATGAGGTGAATGAAGTGTCCAAAACATTTTGGAAATTACAGAACTGAAAGTAGTTGATAAAAAACAGCAACTTTGATAATCCAACTATTTAAAAAACTAAAGTTTATACCAAAATGATTAACTGGCAGCTCCAGCTTTAAAAAAAACATGTCGGTTATTCTTGAAGAAGTAAAAGAAAACCTGGTGATATGATTTATTATTTGTAATTTGGGTTGAAATCACCCCATAATCTATTTAATGCTGTTGTTTCTAAATGCACTCTGGACAGATGTTATTGCTGGACTAACACAGAAAGGTTTTTAGATGAACTGAACTGTAAAACATGATCTGTTAGAGGATGTTTTTAAAACAATTGTAAAGATAATGACATAATCACAGCTTTATGTCTACCCATTCATTATTCTATAAAAGTCAATAGTTTAACTTCTGAGATTAATAAAATGATCAGACTGCATGCTGTAAATACTTTTACTATACATCACCAACAGATGGTGCTCTTGCATTACTACGTATTATATAGTTTATAGAAGAGTCTTCTGTGTCCCTTCCTCACCCTCTACCGTTGTCAGCATCTCTGTAGTCCTCGATGGCCAGGCGAAGTTTCCTGCGATGCATTAAACTGCTGACACCTAAACCCAGCTCCAGGTCCTCATCTGTCAGCCCCAGTAAGACCTGCAACATGTCGAAGTAGTTGTTAGTGGTTGAACTGTTATAGAAACTACAACCACACAGCCAAAGCATCCTGTGAACAAAACCAGGATCATAGATTGAAATGTGACACATTGGTGAACTACACATTTGCAATAGATTTGATAGATATGGATTATCTATCAATCTAAAAATGAGTCAAGAATAAGTAAGTAACACTGCAGTGACATGAAAGTCTAACCACCAGAAGTACTACAAAGCTGTCACTGTAAAGGAGTATGTGCTCATGGAGATATTGACAATATTTTAAATAACTGAGGCAGAGTATTGAAGCCAAATATAAATACAGATTAATTAAAAGATAAATAACTTAGACTGACATAGCCTGTCAAATGATGGTAAAGCAGATGTAAGTGTCTTAAAAAAAAGTGAAGAATAAAACTTAAAGGTCCAGTGTGTAAGATTTAGGTGGAAGGAATCTATTGGCAGAAATTAATTAGGAATTAATCCTAGTGATGGTGTCATTAGTGTTTGATCTAAATGGTATGAATAGTTTTTTTCTTTACCCTAGAATGGGCTCTTATATTTAAATACTTTATATTTGCATAAGGAGCGGGTCCTCTCTACGGAGGTCGCCATGTTGTTTAAAGTAGTTCAGACTGGACAATCTAAACACCTTTTGGGTTGTTATGACAACTGTAGGCTACAGGGTGAGGTGAGGGTTATTCAGCTGCAACATGACACTTCACCACTAGATGTCACTAAATTCTACGCACTGAACCCTTAAAGTATAAAACTAGAGAAATAAAAAAACATAAAATCAATGTCTGGTTTTATCCAACCTTGCCACTCTTGATGTTTTCTGAGCAGGTGCGGATGTACATGGGCATCGCCATGACAACCTCTAGCCAGGCCTGCACAGTGCCTGCCCTCCACTGAGACATGGGTGTGGTCCTGGCCAGCTCCACCTGCTGGAGGCGGTCCAGCTGGTCCTCTGACCCGTCTGAGAGGCTGTGGCGAGTGGGGCTGGATAGGCCATCTGAGTCTGGGCGGTGGGGTTGTTGGGTTGGTGGGTGAGGGAAGGGGGTGGGGGTGGGGGACACATGTGGATGATGTAGTTGAGGTGGTGAGTGTTGGAGGTGGCAGTGGGTGTAGTGAGCAATGAAAGAGCAACATGTTCAATAAAACATAGCGCAGTAAAAATGAAAATCAGTTTAACAAAATTAGTCCAGTGGGGGGAAAGGAAACTAGACATAAGTGATTTCTTCAAAACAAACAGGCTTATTACAACATCCTACGCTTTTGGCTGCACGACAACAAGCCAAGCGTTTGCCAGAGATGCTGTAAACAGAAGTTGCAGTTGCTTTTATAAGCAGCTCCACACATAAGAAGTCCATTAAACAGGCAGCTGTTTGAGCTGCCGAGCTAACGTGAATCATCTGTCTAAATTAGCCCGTAGCAGCAACTCAATGGAAATTAAAGGCCTGTTCAATTTATACTTTGATGCTTTATGATCACATAAAGTCTGCCTCACATTTGCAATTCACACTATGTAGAATCTAGCTTTAGATAATAATGAGTCATTTTAATGTTCTTTAATTTTTTTCCTATAATCTATTTTTGCTTACCTGTTGTGTTAGTCACATGCATTTTCTAAACATTTCAGTGTGTAATGGAATCAGGCCAAGAAATCATCTGCCACAGTTCATTCATTTTAGTCAGAAACATTTCTCTGTCTCTACCAGCAGGGGGCACTCTAGCACCAGTCTAGGCCTCAGCAGTGGGTCACCTAAAGCATCACGTGTTGTTCTTATTATTTCTAACATATCATTGTTCTGACTGTTTATGACATACATGTGTGGAGGTGTGGCTTGTCAGCTTGACAACCGTCAGTCTGTGCAGCATCACAGACAACAGAGAAACTACTGTAAACTACACATCCAGCACTAAATGATGAGGAGAGCAAATAGATGGTCTCACAGAATCAACAAGACAAGTCCTTCTGTTTGATGACATACCTAAATATCATCCTGCCACCGCACTCCTCTAAAACCATCAGCACAGATACTAAACCGCTCTTGATGCAGTCTTACATATACATATAGCCATGAATCCTGTGGCTCACCCGCTGACCGTACATGATCTGAAACCGTAAGGGCCCTTTGGAAAATAACGAGCCATAGATAAATGTATCCACCTGACAGTTCAATCATAAAGGACGGCCACAGAATCCCGAAATCCTTCCTGTTCGACTCTTTACTCTAAAAAACATGCATTTAATTTCACTTGTTATTTCAGTGGGAAAAACAAAGATGTGAGGGTGACGGATGGTCTCTACATGAATTTTCACTTCTGTTTTTTAAGCAAAAAACAGTGGGAACGTTTTCAGCAATCTCAGTGTACCATCATGTTTGTACTCAAAAAGACAGATAGTCACAACTGAATGATTGTGATTTTGGATTTAAAATCAGTTAGTCATTTCAAACTGGATGCTTTTATGTGCCCCCCTAAGAGCAAAGCATAGACTGAATGTGCACTTCTTAGATGATTTCATTTCAAGCTCAATCAACTTTCTGCCAGAAATGCACTCTGAGATAAACTCCAGATGTAAGATCTTTTTTTTTTCACGCTTTAACAAAGATGTCACAACATTACAACTGGAAAATTGACTGTTGACTTGAAGTTGGACACTTTGATAGTTAGGTGCTCTTGTGGGGCTGGCCATACTACACCTTTTTAAAACTCACTAAAAGCAAAATGGGACAGAAGAACATCATCTTCAGCTATGTGGTTATTGTTATTATTATTACTTGGAGAGTGCTAGTTTTGTAAATTGTTATTCTGTGTGTTTATGAGAACCACAGACTATAAATACTGTAAGGAAGGTATGACAGAATACCAATATGTACACTACACATAGGACAAAAAATCACAGTTGTTTTAACTTGTCTGTTAACTGCTAAATGAAAATAGTTTTGATATTTGGTAAAAGGGTTTTACTATCTGAAGTGTATACTGAATTAATATTAGTGCTTCAGATAAAGTCCCCTTTGTTCAGCAGGAGCTCAATATTATATTCACTGTGACGCTCCATTGCCTTTGGATGGTTTGCATCAGAATCAGACAGAACTTGAAGAAGTGTTGTGTGAGAGTTAGAAGGCATCTGCAAACACAGCTTGCAACCCAGCACAAGTCATTTTAAAGCAATTGGAGCCGGTGCAGCTCGTTCTTACTGATCACTTCATGGGTCACTTGACTGTGTTGAGAGTCCGGTGCAGGTCAGACAAGAGGGGTCAGTGTTAGAGGTCAGGGGTCAAACCAAGGCAGAACATTATTGACACCATGTGCTGACACATATGAGTTCTGTTCCAACAATCCGACATGGCTTCCTTTCCCTCCTCCACTATTTTTCTTCTTATTGATTTCAATACAACAGAAGAGGAAATTAATGCTTTCCAGTCATAATGAGGAGTTGAAAGTGGGATAGAGAGGAAAGGAGGCCATGTGGAAGCTTTCGGGAAGCGGTCCTGTCACAGAGGAACTTGCAGGGTTGAGGGAAGCTTACGTATATATGTTATAAATGGCAGCCACCGCCTCCCGGCATAACGGGACAAATCAGGATTAGAGCCAAACCACAACAAAATGAACACGTACACACACAAACATCAACACAGGGAAAGAGAGGACAGCCACATGGAAATTCATCGATACTTATTTTATTTTAAAATAATCTTATTTTTCTCATTTAGTTCTTTTGAGGGTCATTTTTTTGCCATGCCTTTAAAAGTTTGCTACTAGCCACTTCTAAACATCTCAGGACCTCATGGTAGAAGTCCTCCAACGAGGCCTACATCTTTGACTTTAAATAAAAGCTCTTTCATAATAATATTAATAATTTCATTTCTGCAATGTTATCTCATTTACAAAAAGGAAAATATCCGTGGAAAAAAAAAAGACAAAAAAGACCGTGGCTCAAAACATAAACTGATACAATATTTTTCAATTGATATGTTTATCCCCCCCATCAGCAGAGGAGCATAAAGGTTGTTTACATGAAAAAATAAAAGTAGCCTAGAGTTTTATACATGTCATTGAATGTGTAATGAACTGGTTGAGCTGTTGTTTTTATACATATAATTTAATACATGACGACTAATCTTGGAATCACCTCAGCGATTCGCTTCGGAATCTGCGAGCCCGAGTGTAGGATGAGCTCAGGGTTAAATGATAATCCCCTCACTGCTTACACTGGCACTCTTTTGACAAGCATTGTGGTTAAATACAGCTCCAACGTAATCTGTGACTCTACAGTGTCTCAGGTGAGACTGACAAATACCCAGTGTTAGTTTAATATCAGGGAGAGAAAAGACTTCCTGGCGGGGCAGTGCAGACTCCGGCTCAATCCAATGCAAGGATGAAAATAATCCAATGTCTTTAGTCATTCTTTTGCTTGAAGAAATGCTATTAACCTTTGGCACAGAGTTAATTGCTTTTTTTTTGCAGCAGTGGCTTGAACTGACACTTGCTATTGTTAAAGCAGTTCACCCAACGTTGCTCCATCATCAGGTTGTTAAAATGAAGCCCTGATTTTCTGGTAAAATGACCTAATTCCTGGGGTTTGAAGAAGAGGTAATCAGTCTAATAATTACTGTGTTTGTATAATTCATGTTGATGTTATCACTAATTTTGAGATAATATTTTTTTTTTGGATTGGCTTTTGCCAGAATAACTCTACTTCCAACAGCTTTTTTAAGTGTTCATAAAACGATAGCTGGAGGCGACTTTCAGATCTTGCAGAGAGAGAACGGTACAAAGCCCCATTAATGAATGAATGGAATAATTATTTCATCATTCAAAACGTAGCACTGACTATTGACTTTGTTGACCTCTACTGTTTCAAATGTAAATTTGCATGAAGAGCCTGGTAGGTGCAGATTAAAACACATTTAGTTTGGGATGTTAAGCTCTTTAAAGGTTTATCTGAGCAGTGGTGGGTCATCACTTCATTTAAAATGGAGGAAATCATGAATAAACACCATGAAATCAGTAACTGACCTCTCTTTTTTTCAGTTTTGTCACCGTCTTGACAACATAGCCAGAGAAAGACATTAGTGTTTAGAAGGGTTTTGTTCAACATGCATTTGTGGACTGGGACTACTTGCATGCATGTCACACATGTAGCTTCTATCCTGACAGATAGAAAACACATTTCTTACATTTCCTGTTTGGCTTCATGTTGCTGCGGAACAAACTGTTCTGCATAGAAAGTTCAGTCCTCGCTTAGCAACGTCTTTGAAGTCTCATTTGAGAAAACATCAAGGAGTGCTTCTGCACAGTTTTCTTGGCGGTTGATGGATGTGTCGTGCAACCGCGCTGGAGGTGGATTTGAGGAGTCTGCATGTTGCCTACAGGAAACTGTTCTCGTCATGGCAGTGTGGAAGGAGGGGGATGGACCAGGCAGGACAGTAAACAGGGAGGAGTTTAAGTTAAAAGGTAGTGAGAGGAGGGGGAGTACATGTCAAAAATAACAAAAGGCATTCAGGACGAGGAGACATTTACACGCACAAAGTGCACATCAACTGTTGTTATTTACAAGTACAGCAGTCCTTCAAGTTTCCAGTTGAGTGAAAACAAAAAGTCAAAATGTGAAGAACAATTAAAAGATCCAATAACACAGCCGCTTTGGAGGGCAGATACAATAGAACACATCCATGTGGTCGCTGTTTCACACTGTTCACTCTATATACACAACCGTACATACATACAGGTGCAATTTGCTCGTCAAGGTTTACACTTCAGCCAAGCAAGACGCGCCTCTGGCTTCTGACATGGCCTCCGACCATGGAGGACACACATGCACACACTCCCACACACGTGCACACGCAAGTATGCATGCGTGTGAGCTTGCACAGGCACACACATTATTATATCTGTACACGCTGACATCAAACACACCCATCCTCTTGCACACACATGCACACACACTTTAACACAATTTTGTCTTCTGATAATTTGCCACAACGGCTCTTCAGGTAGTTCGCTCGGACATGTGTGCTTTACCAGTCTGCATCTTCCTCAATGTAATAATCAGGTGTTGAAGTACCATCAAACAAACCAGGGTCGAGGGACTTGCGTTGCTTCCCCCGGGCGAAGACACGCGACAGAGAGCCCAGCCCCATCTTCTCTTTCTTCTTCTTACGCTTCGCCTCCTCCAGATCTTCTAGGGACTGAAAGAGGAGAGTGCGAGGGAGAGAGAGCAGAGGGGAGAAGACGATGAAGAGATGGGCCAACAAACAGAGATGTAAGAGCAGAACAGTCGGTGAAGGGGTGCAGAGTGGGCGATAAAGACCAGGGGAGATAAAGATCACAACACAAAAGGGAAGTGATGCTTTACATGCTGCGAGGCATGCACTTATTCAACAACTGGTTTTCACATAAATCCACGTCACAGCTGCAGAGTGAGGACACAACAGACTGTGCAGGGCAAACACGAGCTCAGCCAGAATGACGGTGGAGAGAAACAGCAGCGGCCACGCAGTGGGACAGTTGGCAGTTTCCACAAAGGAGGTGATTACTTGGGAGGGTGCAGTGGTGGGCAGCTCTTACATTGCAGAGGGAGTGAGTCCGATGGCGTGGCGAGTTGATGTCGCTGGGTGTGGATGACCGGTCCCCCTCCACCGCTGAGGCGTCGGAGATGATGGAGGGCTGACGCGAGTGGCAAGGGCTCACCCGCACGGCAGCCACTAAACGGGACAGGGAGGAGAAGAGAAAAGGCTTGTTTTCTTTGGGGTGTGTTTGGGCACCAAAAGTAGTGAACAGGGACGATGTGGTTGTTCTCAATTATGCCACAATACCCTCAAATAAATAAAATATATGTTTTAAAAATCCACAAACCAAAGGCCGGAAATTACTTGCAATCATCTGCAGTTGCTAAGCAACAGTGAAAACAGCTTCACAGAGGTTGAGCCAATGTGTGTGTACCAATGAGACTGAAACATACTGTTCAACCAACTGCGTAGCTGGTGAGGATTCGTGACAACTCGCATGTTTTTCTTGTTGTGTTTTTCTTTTTTTCCCTCTACTTGTTCCGCCAGATGCCACCAATTAGTCTGCAACCTGTTTGAACCTGCGGCTCAAAGAGGACTCAGATGGACCTCTCCTCTCTATTTTTCTGGGGAAGTGCAGCCAGTTGTCCAGTTTCACTCTTTAGAGTGATTATGATTAGTTTGACTTTTTTTGGAGGTTCAGGATTAACCTCTCAGAGTGACTGTGGTTAGATAACACTCATTAATTCAAGAGCTTATTCTAAATTGGGAAATTATATAAACATAGTAAAAGCTCCCAGCTGCAGTAATGTTATAATAATGATAATTCTTTTTTCAATAGTAATAATGACAGGCTTGATTTATCCATTTGGAGCTGAAATCCAGATCTGACACGATACTCGACAATGATTACTGTTGTTGATGTTGATTATTAGCATTATTATGATAATTTCTACAACTATTAACTGGTGCTGCTCATTAATAACATAATTGAGGATATCACTCTTATTATTTTCATTGGAACAACCAGTCTGACAGAGAGACACAACTGTTCCTGGTGTATCTCCCCTCTTTTCCACCCACCACTACTATCTCCCCCATATTTCTCCTCTCACCCCAACCAGTCGAGGCAGATGGCCGCCCACACTCAGTCTGGTTCTGTTGGAGGTTGCTACCTGTTAAAGGGGAGTTCCAAGTGTTTGCTCATTGTGGGAACTGTTGGGTTCCTCTATAACATTGTAAGGTCTTCAACTTACTATGTAGAGTGCCTTGATGTTATGTTTGTTATGATTTACTATAATATACAATGCTACACTGATACTATTGCTACATAAATACAATTTAATTGAATAAACATCAAACACAAACTGCTTCATCACTAAAAGTTTCACCTGAATTTTGAACAACACCACAGTATATGGACGAGGGACGTTCAGCATCGGTTCACATCTTTTGTGTACACCTGTGCAAGTCATATCGGTGGTGGTGAACCAATAGTGCCCAATGTTCAGAGGGGCCAAAAAAATGTATTAACAAAGTCCAGTGAAAAAAAGCTGTAGGAATTGTGCAGACAAAATGTTTAAATCCACTTCTGACTTTATGAAAACAGTTGCACACGCTAACGGCACATAACAATGAAACCCAACCAATCCTAAAGTGCCACTATTCTGAAATGTGGAGGAACAGCTGTGTGCAGCAAAGACAAATGGAAGCTGCAAAGCCAAAGGTTTGTTCACTGTATCTGCTCCAAAAAGCAAATGAAATGTCACGACCAGAGCAGCAGGGGTGGCCGATAATGTGGACACATTGAGCAGATGGCACGAGTCAATGTGTGTGAAGCCGGTGGACATGAGAATGCAGGCGGTGAATGACTGTAAAAATCGTAGTGTTAATGAAAAGGATGTTCGAGTACGTGTGCCTACCTTGTCTGTCCGTGGGATGCCCGGTGTGGACATAAAGGGTCTGCTGACTCTGTCTGATTGCAGCAGTCAGGGGGAGGTCCGCCTGCATCACCCACTCTTGGTTGTTACCATTGACAACAGTCTCCGTGGGCATGGCCAGAGAGTGACGCTTGGGCACGTCCTTGGTCAGGGTGGCTAGTGACTGTTTGGCCTTAAGAAGGTAGACAAACACAGGTGCCAAGGGTAAACCTACAACAAGCAACAATCCTGGAGAGAAACCTTGCTTGGTGGTTGTATTTAAGTGAGTTGGTGTTATTGTTTCTATTTATGCATTTTTTGTATCTGTGTGCACATGTTCATGTTATATTATGTATCCAGAATCCTACTGAACGTCTCATGCCTCACATGGGCTGTAATTGTGTTTGTCTTTTGTTGTGTGAAATCTTGCTGCAGCTCACTTGCTGCAGTAAAGAGAAAAAAAATAGACAGAATGTCTGCAGGAGATGTTTTCCTCCTTTCGGGGGTGGAAGTTAGGGGTTGGTGGGGGATAATAATGGAAATACTGGATAAAATGAAGCTTTTCCACAAGTTTAATGAATACATTTGCTCTGCAGAGCCCTGTCACAATGCACAACTCACCATGTTTTAGCAGGAACAACAATGAGCCACTGAAGCCTTGGGAGATGTGTTGGTATACGTGTGGTTTGTGTCTATCAGGAGCTTTGTTTGTTTGTGTGTGTGTGTGTGTGTGTGTGTGTGTGTGTGTGTGTGTGTGTGTTTGCTGATTAGCCTTGGCACATCAGTGTTTTGCAAATGCTTCAAATCTTGTTATTCTGCAAATCATATCATCATGCCAAGCGTCGACAGGCTGCAAATCAACACCCGGCACAGTCAGCTACATTGCAATCATTTCTACCTAGCAGCGGTCAAACGATTATCAATCATAGTGTTTGCTTCGCAGAACACAATCCCAATCACAAACCTTTGCAGTAATCATTAGTTGTCAGAATATTGATGTATTTTTCCCCGCATGCATTCTTATTCTCCTATTCTGATAAATCACAGCAGGGGCCCACGGGGATCAGCAGTGTTAGGATCACTGGGTCAGGGGCTCCGTCAGTCAGGGACGGCTGTGGGTTAGTCAAACACGTGCAGCTGAGGAGGGGCTTTCCAAAGACAACAATTAGGTCACAGATAGGAGAGGTTTCCAAAGAGTGGGTGGGGGGGGGTCAAGAAAGGTCAAATTTCAAATTTGGGGGACCTGTCTTACCGCCATGACCCTAGATGAGTAGTCCCTGTCCGCAAGACGCTCAAACACCCGGAACTCCATTCTCTGATTGACACAGTTACTCATCTGGGGGGTTGGAGACATGAGGGATGGCTATACCTTATGTTCAAAAGCATTCTGGGTTTCATTATATGCAGGCTACCCAAAATGAAATAAGATTGCACAGTAACAGACAGATGTACTGTTCACCCATGAAGCAGTGATCAAAGAGAATTTGTGCTTTCTATTAGTCGTAAATGTCGTCTTATCCCTGTTCTTGTCAGTAGTTTTAACACTTGTGATAAACATGTGTATGAGCTTTAATAACTGGACTTTGATTTACTTCAGTTTAGAGTCCATCTTTCTTTCTTAAAGTACTAACTTAATGTGTTTTTATTGGCAACTGTAAATCACACATAAATGAAACAAAGTTGAAATGAATATCAAAGTCAACAATACTGCAGAAAGAGAACATTTGATTTTCAGAGCGGTACTGTCTAGTTCAGCCCCATGTGTGTTTCTGTCTCACCATGGCCAGTTCAGCTTCCAGCTCCTTGATGCGATTCTCCTTGAGGTCAAGCTGCGAGCGCAGCATCCCTGTATGCTCTGTGGCTTCCTTGGTCTGCCGCCGCAGGTCCCACTTCTCCCTCTCCAACAGGTCCTTCTCTTTTGCCAGTGCCTTCACCGCATCCTCGCTCTCCTAGTGGACACAGACATCCTGATGGGTTGGTTCACACATGATTGCAAACTGAATCAAATAATTAAAAGAATGAGTCCAACCTGCGAGATAATAGCGATGAACCAAATTCAAAATCAGGGAAGGAACTAAATAATCTAAATCTGTTGTTTTTATGACTTTTAGATGTATATTTATGTCTCTGAGATGAAGGGCCTTTGCAAACCTATTAAATCTGCTGTATATACAACATCCTTCACACTATGTTTGTTTTGTGGCTATGATTTAAAATTACTTTGGAGTGGAGCAGGTTAACAGTTAGATCTCAATATCAAGAGAAAACTTAAAAATCCTCACGGTCAAACAAACACAACTTGTCAATATGAATAATATGGTATATATGCAAAGCATTTCATAGCATGGTCATACATGCAGAGAGTGTAATCTATTTTTAAGTAGGAGATTAGTACATGTACAGTACAGTGCACACATCCATAAATTATCCTCATCCACAATGTGCACACACATCTAGCAAGAATTAAACTAATTACAAGAAGCATCACTGATTTACAAAACCAGCTTTAGAAAATGTGTTTTATTTGGCTCCGCTGCTGCTGCTTGGATGTCGATTGTGTTTTTGGTGCAATGAGCGTCCAACCAATACAGCTTTGCATGCACGCGTGTGTGTGTGTGTGTGTGTGTCAGTACACATGGCGGCCATACTTTTCTGTGCTGCTCATAGTTGCGTATGAAGTCACGGAGCTGCTCCTCCCGGCTCTCCAGTGTGGCGTAAAGCTGCTGCATCTGGTTCACCAGGTCGGCTTTCTCCGCCTTCAGACGCTTACGGTCAGACTTCATGGCTGCAAGAATGGCCGAGAGAGAAATAGAAAGAGAGAGAGGGGTTGTAAGCTATAGCATCAGATGAGCAGCGTTTGGCTGTGGGTGTCTCTGTGTTGGTGTGTGTGCGCATGTATGAGCAACAGTGCACGTGTTGTGTGTGAAAACGCTCATATTTACAAAGGCAAAACAGAAGGATGCTTTAAAACAATAGTTTTTTCGTTACCAGACAAAAATGCCTGAAAATATGTTTTTTGAACAGAGCTGTTTACATCATGTATATGTAATTACACAGAGCAGAGGGACATCAAAAATAAACCTGCAGTCCCACATTTTTATTGAATAACTTTAGCAAGCAAAATGATTTATGACGGTTTTTGTTTTTAGTCAAAACATTCAAACAGACAGATTCAGATTTTAGTCATAGAAATGTAAAATTATTTTCAAGGGGATACAACTACACACCTTGTATTGGTTATATTGCTAATACTATGAGCTGATTCATGTACAGCATTTTTTATTTTTGATGACAGGTCCCAGTATTTTTTAAATCTACCCTGAGAGCCTGTATTAACTAATTTACAATATAGGCCAACACTGGCTGTTCAAATACATTAGATATAGTCTTTCTAAATCGACACACTAACACATCTTGGCAGTGTGTGTTTTCTTGTCCACATTCCTTCATGCATAATAAGTAGGTAACTAGGCAGTTTCAGATATGAAGCATCTCAAGTAAAAACATTACAGACACCTGCTGTTGCTGTTTTAATGCCGCGTGACCGCATGTTGATAAAGAAGTGAATCATGAACCCTCCTGTCAATCTCCGCTCCGCTGCCGGCTTCGTTAGAGGCTGCCTCTCCCTCTTTTCATCTATCTCCCTGCCACACACTCTCTCTAATCCTCTGGCAATTCACCCACGCATCATGATAAAGAATATGGTTCAGTGTAGTTATTCACTGAAGCTCTAATTTTCTCAAAGACAACATCTTCGTTTTCTTCCCTCCTCTGCGTCTCCTGCTTTCTCTTGATCCTCTCTCCGTCTTCATGTGAGGCTGTTTTCCAGACATCTGCTTAAGGCTGTGCGTCCCCACGGCTACAGCTCAACACTAGCAGTATACTGTATGTTTTATTTACATCCTGTGTTGTCACACCGTGTCTCTCCACCAATTTCACATCCATTTCCTCTAACCACTCTAACTGCTGGATGTTTCATCTAACATCACACGCTTCTCTTTTTTCCCATACCGTACGTTCATCTCTTTTTTTATACCCCTGTTAGCCAGGTGCCTGTCATTAATTAACTTATATCACAGCCTGGTGATTGTGTGACATTCACAAGTTGGGGAGCGTGCTTGATCGAGTGGCATGGAAGTGCAGCTTCACAAGGACAGATTCACCCTCTAGTTTCCCCCCTTTCATTTCTGTCACCGTTTCATATCTCCTTCTTTCACCCATTTCTTTTTTAATGGTGGAATCCCCAAGCCGGAGGAAAATGCAGACCAAAGTGTCCTGCGAATGAAAACAAGAAACATCCCTTATTGGCCAAGAGAAACAGGAAACCTCCCAGCACCTGCCTTAGGAAGTGAAATCAAAGCCTTCTTTGAGACGAGCCTGCTGCTGCTTCACATCCTGCACCTGTGACCGTTGGCAACATCGACTTTCCTACAAGAAAGCACTCACTGTCACTTGGTAAAAGGATCCATTCACAGCAGAAAATCACGTTTGCACCATTACTTTCCATTAAAAACCGATGTATGGACACATTTAATGAACAGGGATGGTCCATGCTCTTTGCAGTTATATTACAATAAAAAACTTACACGGCGAAGCACTGGCATGCCTCCATCCGATGACAGCCATATTAATGACCAGCCTACTCTGGCTCGGTCCAAGCCTCCAAGAATTATTACCAGATTAAACAAGAGGGAACCACCTGGGAACCATACAGAGCCGAGGCTAATGTGTGTGGAGCTGCAGATGGAGGACGACATAGAGAGGAAGCCACCCGACAGTCTTTAATTTCTATGAATATGTTTTGTGTATTTCGAATAGTAACTATTTTGATTAAACCTATTCCCTGCTTGTTTTGACTGGAAGCAGTAGTTGTCTTTGTGTGCTTGACATGCAGATCCAAAAACTATAAGCTACCCCCTGCTTATGTAAGTAGAAGGAGAGCAGTTCAAACCTCATGCAGAACAAACATGCACCATCTAAAGTCCAACCAGCCCTGTGTTACAACAAAAACACCTGCCTGCACCATGCACCCTCTCCTGACACGCTCTCCAAAATCTGCATAAGTGTTTTTCTTTGGCCCACTACACAAAACCTCTTTTGTGTCTAAGTAGTTTAATGTGAACATCTACTAATGCAGTGAGCTGAAAGCCTTTGTCTGTGATCATAATCCATGATCAGCAGCCACGATCCGCTAGCATGATCCACAATAACAATCATATGTACCATTGTAAACTGAACGATAAGGCAGGGTATGCATTGGGGGCATGGATATCGTGTGATTGACAGCTAGAGGCATCCTCTGGGTGCAGGTGTAGTTGGGCGTGCCGTTTCACCCTCCACTCCAAAAAACAAAGATGGCACTTGCGAAAGTGTCAAACTCTATTCTTTAAAATGGCAGTTCACAAAACAATGGGTGATGTCAGGGGGTGGGGGAATCCCTACTGCTCATAATAAGATGATTGTACAGATGATTATCTCTGGTTAAATAATAACCCTAATATTCAGTGTGCTCTAAAACAAAAGAGAAGAGAGCGTGCTGACACGTCTCTGAGGAATAAATGTCCACATCAAGTGCACATTTTATACTATTTATGTTTAAGCAAAAACTGCTGTCCAAACAATTTTGATGTCCATTAAACACCAGACAATAGGATCATAAAGATCTTTACATTAATGAATGGGCCCACTCCACACTGTCACCTCTCCATATAATTTCAGTTCTAAAGAGGAGGCCCAGGCTTTTAGTCTGCTCTTAACATAATTATTTGGGGAGAGAGAAGAAAAGAGACAACGGTTCATTGGAAGAAGTCCATTGTTCACGGTTTGGAATTTTAAATCTACCAGCTGAATAATGAAGTAGGAGCCTCTGAGCTGCTTAGTGAGCTTGTCTCCTCACTTCCTCTGTAAACCTAACTCCTGGGTTGTATTGAGTTGATATTCGAACTGGTAGAGTTTAATGGTCCTTTACTGTAGAGCAGGTAATGTTACTTTAAAGTTACTGTATCAAGCAGACATTTAATGAGAGTCAGTCAATGTTTTAACCTTAAGTTCTGCAATGATATTTGACCCTTCGTATAGATCTATTCACAACCTATACCCTAGTCTGTACAGCAGTATTGTGTTGCAGAATCCACTGTGCATTTTAATTTATGTCATTTGATCTTATTGTCAAAACTACACAAAATCTTTATCCATAGCTTTTTGCATGGCATTTATAAGCCTACAGTGTCAATGTGGACTCCACATATGTAAAAATTACCTGGAGGTGTGATTTGATCAATGTAAGTCAATGTAATATCGAAAGTAATGGAGACACAACTGTGTGTGTGTGTGCAACTAATGTAACAACAGTAACAGACAAAAGAAGCAACAGGTAGAACTGTGATGCAGATTTTTAACAATGGTACAGGTACAATGCTCCTTTAATGACAGAAGTATCCTTGATCACCACTAGAGGCCACTATGATCCAAACACATGTTTTCATTCTAGACCATTCAATTAGAACCGATGGAGGTGCCTTCAATAACTGTTATGATGAAGCTACATACAGCAATGAGGAAAAACTGTGGTAAAGGGCAGAGGTGCGCTGTTAGTCAGTGTAGTGTGAAATGACACTAAACAGGTGGCAGACTGTGTTTTGATGATACACACAGTAGCTGTCTGCTGCTTTCATTAGAGCTCTGGATTGACTGGAAGTCCCTCGATTGATAGTAATTACCCAAAGAGGAAACAGCTAATTAAAAATAGCAGAAGTGGCCAACTTTACTTTGAAATTTCATTTAACCCAACTTTGATAAGAAAGTCCAAACCAGAGTTGGGTAAACCTATTAACACCTGTCGACAACAAGCCATCTGCGACAGCCAACTGTGGTTCATTTGCTCATTAAGTCTTTAGAGATGACCATGACTGTTTCAGGCTGTATCCATACTACCACGTTTTCATCTGAAAACGCATTAGCTCTACTACGGATACAACAGGCATCCACACTACTGCAGAATTTTACAGCCACTAAAATGGAGAAGTTTGGAAACGCTGCTGGCCTCATTTGGGCAGACAAAAACGGTGACGTTCACTCGTGCTTATTGGATTTAACAATGTAGCCTTTGCTGATTGGTCAGGCTCCTATCACATGACCCCCCTTTCTGGAAGAAAACCACCGGCATTATCCTCGGCTACCAGAGAAGAACGCAACCCTTTTGTTTTTTTGCTAACAGCTGTTGTGCAGTTGAAGATTGTCCAGTGGGACATGCATGTGTGAGTGGTCCCGTGATGTGTGTGTTAGAATGGGTTGGGATTCAAACTAATAAGGAGCCAAATGCTTGTGCAGACCAAGGTTGTTTTAGTTTGAAAACAAAATGCTGCTGTATGGATGTAGCCTCAGTGTCCCTGTCATGTGTGTATTTAAAGGTAAGGGGGGGGGGGGGATCACTGCCAGCAGTAGTTGCTGGGTTGAAGTGTGTGTCCTTTGGGAAAGGGATAAAACCTGCAATTGTGAGTGGGCAGTTATGTGCCTGTTAGCACGATCACAATTACAGTGCTAACAGGCAGATGTCTGGCACACGGTGGGAGTGAGCTCAGGCTTCAACACTGAAACAGTGTGAGCATCACATTGCAAACAAAGGGAGAGGATGAGACAGAGGAAACAGGCTGAGAAGAATTGTTTGTCTCTGCGTCCTCCATTTTGTATTCAGAGAAAATCTGCATTTAATTCTGCCGCAAACCATCTGAACTGAGGTGTGAGTGGCGGCACAGATTCTGTGGACCGTCCCCAAAGTAAACAGGTATTATCTCAAGCGGCAGAGAGCAAAGGAGGGAATGATGCATTTCTTTCACGCTACTGCATCACTCCAGCCTTTTGCTTTTTTTTTTTTATTCAAAGCAGAACCACAGAAAAATAAATAAATATATACTAAAAACACAAAGCTACTCCGCTTCACAATAATTGTTGGTAGCACTTCAATAATAAAAGCCCCCGGGGCACTTCATTCAGTTCTCCGAACATTAGGAAAGAAACTTTGTTGGAGCGTTTGGTTGGATGTTCACAATATGCCAGCCTTGTGAAAACTCGGGGAAATCAAATAGAGTCGACGTCTCGCCTCCAATCAGTTGGAAACATATGGAAATTGCTTTAGTTAATGAGATATTCTCAAGAACATTTGGCCTATGTGTTTTTTTTCTTTAGAGGCCACTTTAAAATCTAACTTTTTCTAACTCCAACAGCTAATGAGTGTTTTTTGCTGTATAAAAAGTAACAAGATGAGGAATGTTTCAGGAAATATTCACATGCACTGGGCATATGTTTGCAAGACTAGGAAATTATTTTCTTGTCCTGAAGACGAGAACTGTACCTGACAGTGAGTTTTTAATTTGGTAGTCGAGTCGTGACTGATGAGAACCAATCAGGAAAGCAAGCATGTAAAAAGATTGACTGATATTGTGACAGATGGGAGCTCCAGCCAATGGAATTACAGATAAACTCCCAATCTCATTGTGATACAATGAAAGCACTGTACATATATTAAATGTTTCATAAAGTCAGAAAAAAATCCTAAAAAAAACTGTTAAAGACATTTCAAAACACACTAAATCGTATTTTCCATGGGGAAAATATATTAACTTCACATGTTAATAATAATAACTCTAATATTGACAGGTTTGAGTTTTGAAACCAACCTGTGAGAACAGATGAAGCAGACTTTATGCTTTTGTTGTTGGCTTGTTTAACTGTATCTGAAACCTCCTTTCTGATGGCAGACTCACACTTGCGTCTTTGGACGTGAATGTTGTTTTCTCTTGGTCACATGAAACATACTGTAACCTTCAGGCTTTTGCAGCCGTCTTTCAGGCCCTGATGTGAAGCATTCCATGAGCACAACATTTTGTTCATCTGTAACAGCCCTAAAAGTGTTTCACCAATATTCAAAAAAGTGAATAATAAGCACTAGCTTTCAGCTTCCTTGTCTTTGCCTAAAATGCCTTTTATTACTAATTGTTTGCTTTTCATGAAACATTTGCTTGTTGCCTCACTACCTTTTTAATATTCTCTTCATTGCCCCCCCGTAGCAGCCCATTAAGATGTTAATATACACAGAAAAACTGTCTTGACTTTAATGGTGTCAAAATATTCATAGAGTTACATGTACATTTGCAAGCTGTCCTTTAAAAATAAACCCACACACTGTCCACATATAAGCCACTGCAGCCTGGAACATTAACACTTTTGATGGAAACGGCTACAAAAACAACACAAATAAGACAGAGAGACAAAATGGGACGACAGATCTCTTAAGCTTAGAATCAACTGTGACAAAATTCACTGACTGCTACCCACCACAGTATAGGAGTTAACTGCCAACCAATACTGTTGCTGGCCCTTCATGGCTTTGTTAAAAAATAGTGAACCACATAGTTTCGGAGAGATGGAGTGTGTCAACTGAGGAATAAAAAAAAGAGCGGGGACCCAGCTGCAGTATGAGGAAATCATGTGGAAAATAACAACAAAACATATTAACAATTCACAAATCCTGCTACTTTTGCCACAGAATGCAAATATAATTTTTTCACGGGTCACTCTGTGGTCAAAAGCTTCACCTGAACACCAACTTCTGCTCTACTGCTCATATAAAACAGCTTTAAGAGCAAAATAATGAAAAGCAATGGGAAACAGAAGCAAACTTAAATACGACAACAGCCAATTTCCTGTTGTCCTCCTACATACCCCATCTTAATTGCAGACATGGTGCACCCTGCTTAACGTTTCTGAAGCATATAAGCCAAGCAAAGTCTCCCTTTATAAAGCTTTCATTAACCACTGATTACTGTCAGTGCCTGCTGGGGCTGGTAAGCTGTGGCCTTCATTAACAGGCCTGAGTCATACAAATGACTGTACCAGCGGATATAAGTATGTTTTGTACTATATTCTGCTCTGCTCCAATCTGTTATGTTTTTTTTGTTCTGCGAGTGTCGAGTGCAACAAAATCCCCTGACAGCGTGTCGTGTGTTTGTCTGATTCCAAAATGGTGGTTTCGTGTTCTGCCATATTCCATGGCCCGATAGGTCTTTGAAAAGGATGATTCACCGCCGCACTGATGACATCTCCGCTTGATGGTCTGCAATCCACCGTGCACTGCCTGGCTGAACTTCTTTAGTACTTTAACCTGTGTACAGTGTCTGTGAGGACACGTGCAGCAGAGAGAAGCCTGCACATTGGTATTTCACCAGTTCTGAAACAATCACTATGGCCATTTTGAATGTTAAGCCTCACATCTACAAAGAGCTCTCTTTTGCTAATTTGCTAATATATATTTTTAAATTATATTTTACTTGAATTTAAACATTAAAACAAATAATGAAGCTAAAACAATAACTTATTCCACATTTTTATGAAATTTGATCCACAATTGTACTTTCTGTGCCAAAAAACCAAACAATCACTAATCAGCCTGCTCAGGAGAAAAAGCATTAATTTTAAACTTTAAACAAAGGCAGCATGTAAGCCTTAATAGGCAGCTTGCAAGTCAAGCTGTAAGTCTAAATGAGCTCTCTGGAAGAATTACAGAGACTATATCACTTGTTAAAGTTAAAATTATGAACCTGTCAACTGCTAAAATTGATTTTAATGTTTACCCCGAAGTACTTCTCAATGCATTGTTCCAATTCATATATATGCACACACACACACACACATAATATATATATATTATATATATAATTTAATATTTAGATTGTTTTTAAAATCACATCTGCCAGCAGTACAGCAGCAGCTACAGTGAATCTTCTCCATAACATTGGAAATATTTTATTTAACGCATCAGTGTCCTCTCTCACCCCCAGATCCCACTTCATCTCTGGAGCGGAACACATGCTAATGGCCTGTAATGCAGCTAATGGGCAGCATTAACCACACTGTTACAAACACTAATGTTAACATTATGGTGACAAGGAAAAAAGGCCCGGGTTTGAAACCCTCTGGAAAGAAATGCGTCAGGTTTTCTGTGAGTGCGGGGTGGCCAACAGAAAAACACTCGACAGCTGAGAGCAAAATGATCACAAAATGAGTTCAACGGGAAATTGGGTTTTCTGCCACTTCACTTTGCTTACTTTCAATATTTCCATTTGTTCCCCAACAGGGCACACCCGCTCACATCAAATGTATTAACACATTTGTTAACATGTAGGCTACAATAGGTGGAACAGGTTGTCTGACGCACTGAACTCCAAATAATCTTTTGAATTTATCCATAGGGAGTGTGTATGAACGCAAACGTCCGACTCAACTTGGAAAGACAATGACATTTGAGAGCTTTTGGTGATGAGGGCCAACGCCAGTGTCAATGTGCTGTAAACAAAAACACTTGATCTCCACAGCAGAAACACAATGTTATGTCCCGCATCCTGCATGTTGTGCCACCACTCACCTGAATGCTCCAGATTTGAGCTGATTGCTGTTGAGAACACAAGCTCATGTCTGAAAGCAGCTTTATTTTGGAGTATTGTATATGGTGTTTGTTTCTTATCTTTTTTGAATGTGTTAACTTCATAAGTAATTTAGTTTTAATATAAATAGAGATTAAATCATTCATCTTTCCTTTTTTTCTATTTATGCTTTCTATGAGCATTGTCCATGACAAATAAAATATAAACATAATTAGTCTGAATTATTATTTGAGATTTGACTTATTTAATAGGGAAATAACAAGGACATGTTTCTGTGCTGTTTTTGGAAGGAGAAAGGGCAAATCAAAAAATAGATTGTTCTTACTGTGCTCAAGAGACACTGTTGTTATATTCTTCTTGACATTTTACATGTCTGACTTTCTTATTTGACAAGTGAAAGTGAATACAGAAAAGAAATGTTGAGAAAGAGAAGGAGCAGAAACTTTGTAGCAGAACTAATTATTAAGCTATATATTATTAAATCCTGTGTAATTCCTGCCACCATTCAGAAACCATTGTAAAAGACAGGAACTATATGACCCACTGATGCTCTGCAGGATAGTCTCATTGCGTTCTCTCTCTTGCAGCATCACAACCGATATTTTAAAATAATGATGACATGAGTGAAAGAACACACAAAGCTTCTCGGCTCCTTCCTCACCTTGCAGAGCCTCCTTGGCTCGGTCCAGCTCCTGCTCCTTCTGAGTCAGCTGCACGCGTAGCTCGGTGGCAGAGAGCACGTCGGCCGAGCATCCTCCCTGGGTCTCCTCCAGGTCTTTACTCAACATGTCCTTCATCTGCCGCAGCAGGTGCACCTCCTCCTGGAGCTGAGCCACCTCCTCGCGCAGCAGGACTACAACACAGAGAGGGAAAAACAAAGCTTTAAGTGGCTTACGACAAAATATGTATTGTCTTAGTAAAAAAAATGTGTGGTTTAATATTTGCACGGCAACTTCAAACACTTTGAATCGTTTCCAGTAGCTACACCGGATTGTATGCTCACTGGAATACAATCTCACAGAGGTCAATTAGAGTGGCTGCAGAATTGTACGTTTGTAATGTAACTTTTCTCTGCTGCCAAACTTTGTTTCTTACCAGGTCGTGGTGGTGACTTGCTAAAACCTTTAGCCATTGCTTTTACAATACGTCTTCTGATTAGCACCACTCTTTCTGGAACGACTGGACGCGACAGTGACTTGCTATCAGAAAGTACCGAAATGGGGAGATTGGGCAAGCAAGCTGGTTAAGATGCCGATCTCCTTTCCCCTCTCTGACAATGCCGGGGCGTGGATTGCTGATTTAGCCACCAGCAGCAATCTAGTAATTGTGCATCTGTTTGCAACCCTCAGCTCGGAGGAATCGAAAGTTTATTTAAAAGATTCCAGATGACCACAGACTGGATAAACCCAAACAGTTAGTTTTAATCTCAGCTCTTCTGAAGTAAAAGACTCACTTTTCCCAATGACCTGGACCAACACAGACAGCTGGCTTGAGTTTTCTATGAACAGTGATGCTGAATACCATTTCACCCGTAGGAAGTTTAGGCCTTTTGCATCATTGGATTGAACATTTAGAATAAAAGACTTCAGAGACTGGAAACATGCTCCTGAGCACTATTACGTGAAACTTTTGTCTTAAAGCAGAAATAATATGTGCTCCCACTGTGACATTTTGGAAACCCTGGCTATTAAATGATCTATCTTTCATGGTAACTATGACTCTTTGGAATGAAGCGCACAGTCTGACAGTGGGTTATTTTTTATCAAAGTTAAAATATGCATGTAAAAAAACAAACCTCAGCTAGCAAAACTGACCTTTTGATTCCTAAGAATCCAAACCAACATAAGTCATGTCATTCAAGATGGAACAATGGAGCTGATGAGCAAACTGGCAACAGAGCTTATTGTTGAGGAAATAGGTGACTCTTTTTACACAGTCAAAATGGATGTAACATAAGAACAATCCAACAGCTGTGGTTTTACAGCTGTACTGATACATTTACTCAGGAAATGGGGCACTGCTTTGGAGAGCAAAACAGTGCATTCATGGAATTCATTGTGTCACTCAGCCAGGACCGCAGCATCTTCCTGGACCCACTGAACCACTCTCTGGAACAATCTCTCATTGATTCTGAGCTCACCAACAGCTCATTCTCACCCACCTCCACATAATGGCAAACGGACATTGAAAACACGACTCAATAATTTCAACAGGGAACTGATGCAAAGTGTCCTCACAGGATTTAAGGTTGCAAAAACCTTTGGAGTGTCCATAGCTTGATGTAAAAAGTCTTTTTCCAAAAAACGTGTTCTCTAAGCAGAAAAGGAGCAAGTCAAATCCCCAGAAAACTCATTTTCTGGTCTTTATGAGGAGGACCCGACCAAGAAATGGAAGACAGAGTTGAAAGACAGTTTACTGAGGAGATCCGACTTATGGGGAAACACTGTCTGCAGCCTATTCAGGCTCAGTCTGAGCCACTGTAGCATCGTAAGTAGGCCACGATCATATTAGCTGCATTATTTTCGTGTAAGTTGTTTTATTGAACTCTTTCCTGAATACTCTTTCAGCTCTAGCTAGGTGATTACAAATATTTCTTCTTTGACAGTGTATGTTTTCCAATGTGGAATCAGATATGTGCGAGAATACAATTTAAGAGTTGTCATTGTGTAGGCACAATGAAATTAGGAAAGTGTCATCCCCAAAACAACTTGTACTAAATTGAGAAATATTCAAATGCAAAAAATAAGCAATACTAGAATTAAATATAAACAAAAAAAGTATGAAATAAAGTTATAGAGATACATATGAGTAAACAAGTTGAGGTAATAAGGGTGCATACGATAACATTAAAGTGACTGATAGATAAGAATGATGAATGATATCAATAATATGAATACTGCACAGTGTATTTAAGTGGCATGATAAATATGACAGTTATAGTGAAGTGTTTTAAGGTACTATGATATTAATGATGAATAAATGCTCAAAACTGACCAAGGCCTTGGAGTCAGACTGGTGTGTGTACGTTGTGTGTAAAATATAACATTTAATTAAGTTGTGAGAAGACCTTAGCATAATTTGCCATAGTGCATATAATTGACCACATAGTTCAGTTATAATTTACATGTTGACCATTATGGCTGAGATATACTACAGGAAAATAGCATATAGCTCCATGGTAGTGTTTTAAAATATAAATATAAGCTATAATTATTTTTTTTCAGCAAAAACAAAAGGCTTTAGCTGTCCGATAAAAATCAAATGCCCAGTCAGTTAATTTGCTCCGGCGACAGGACGGTGTGTAATTGAGAGAAGTAAAGTGCCAAATGACTTTTGTAATGAGCATCATAAGGGTAGACTGGGTCCACTAGATGGAAGAGTCAAGATAGTGATAATATAATTACATTTGTCTTTGAACCTGCTCTGTGTTTTCAGGAATCATGTGAACAGAAGAGGTCGACTAGTGCTTTAAAGAGCTCCTGCCTGGTGTTGTTGCAAAGAAGAAAACCATCAAATTAAAACAGCAGCAGGGAGAAATAGATTTTTTTCCTCCCAATTTCAGCAACTGAAAATGTGTCAGGATCAGCAGTAGATGCAGAACCTCATTCGCTTTGTAAACAAGCCACTACAGACAAATGTCACACTTCAATTTCTCACATTAACCCTCAAAGACGAAATAGTTAATCTAAAAATATGTCTTGTTTTTTTTACCCCACACTGAAGGTGCTTGTCTAGGTGGGGCACATGGAGAGTAATTTAGAAAAGAATGAGTAGAGACATTCTACTCAATTTCATGCATCCTCAGGGCAGCAAGTGGGCGGGGGCTGATGGGAACTGCCTCATCTCGCATGGCTCCGCCATCAAGTGCCTCGCGTAAATCACACTTCATGCTCTTATATCCCTGCTCCATTATTACTGTGTGAAAAAATAAACTCAATTGGAAATGAATGGGAGATCTGAGGGTTGGGAAACTGAATATGGTAAAATCAGAACTTAAAGTCACTTGAAATATGGAAAATGTACGTGAGCCAACATACAGAGCCAGATGTAATCATCCTGCAGTGTTCAACAGTTCAGCAAAACAGCAAAAGCTTTGCATCCTGATTAGAATCACACCGTGAGTTTTCTCATGTTGCCCTTTTTACAGAGTCTGTCGTCATTATTACATCATTAATAAAACCTGTGACTGATCAATCTGGATATGTAATGTTTGGATTCCAGTGTTCTCTGTTTTAAATGAGCAATATTGAGCCTGTTATTGTTGTGAGCTGTAATGATGTAATGCAGAGCTGGGAACAAACCAAGGATGTCCTTACAGTGCCACTAATTGTCACATTTGGAATATGTGCAGACAGGAATTACACCACAATGTGAGACCCGACACACTCTGTGACTTGAAAGAAGAATATTTTAGAATATAATGTTCCCAAAGCAACAATAGTACAAACAATGGCCTAAAAACAGGATAAACAAATGTTGATGAGATATTGTACAGCCCTTTTTCTTTTTTCTGTCCATCATTGTTGCTATATGTTACTGACTGATACCGTTCCATAGACTGTATGTAAAGATGTGCACTTCGTCCCACTATGCAGAAATTAAACAGAAGGCCCCGTTTATACATACTGTATGATCAACCAATCGCAAATCAGTCTCATCAGTCAACATCTTTGAGAAAAAGTATTTGTCATACACGCTGACATTTTAGTTTGGTCCACGTTCTATGGAGGAGGCAGGATGAATCACCTGCAGCCAGACCAGCAATCGAGGCGCTTTGGACAAACCTTTGCGGGTCAGTCGTGCCGTCCACGTTTATAAACAGTCTATGACTAATACCAACAGTAGGTGAATAACACATTTACTGGAACTTTCCTCCTCAGGGTTTGACTGAGATACCATCAGTTGAGTCTTCTCTTTACTCAACCACTGCAGGACAGAGATGTTCAACACCACAACAGTGAGAACAAACTAAAATGGAGGATGCGGTTTATATATAGAGCTGTGCTTTACTTGCAATTTAGATCTAATCTGTTTGTGCAACCCCTCCTTTCTCCCTCACCTCTCCTCTCTCTCATGACCAGTCCAGGCAGATGGCCGCCCACAGCGAGTCTGGTTCTGTCAAAGGTTTGTTCCTGTTAAAACGGAGTGTTCTTCCCTCCACACTCACCATATGCTTGGGAACTGTTGAGTGTCTCTCTGTAACATTATAAGGTGTCAACCTTAAAGGCGTTGAGATAATGTTGTTGTGCTTTTCCCAAAAAAAGGACACTGAACTGAAACATCTTTCCTCCACTGAAACTGAAATGACCCTTGAAGTCCAGCACACTGTCAGTATGCAGTACACCTGCTCCTTCAATCTGAGTTCACTGACTAAATGAGTGAGGATGAGGGCTGCTGCTAAATAATGAAAATGAAAAGAGGTTATTAGGAGAAGGGTGGAGAGGAAAACGTCAGCATGTGGAGTGTCATTACACAGAGCTTTCTTTAATGGACCTGATAATAGAACCACATTTTACAAAGCAACTCAAGCAGCTACGTCCTGATTGGCAAACCAAAGAGCCGGTTCTGGAAACAACCAACCAAAAGAAACAGTTCACTGATGTTTCAAAATTCTAACATAGTCACATATATTGTATTGGATAACTTATTCAGAACGCGCGCATGTATTGATTGTGCAGAGGCAGCAACATAGGGAGCAATAACTAAGGCACAGGACATAGATATTTATACTGACTTTATACTATACTATAACACTTGGTGTTTCAGTTATGTGTCATAACCACAGGCTGTATATAAAGATGGACGACATAACAGCTCCCCAAAAGTGAAGCCTCTGCATCTGAAATACCACAT